CGGAAGGAAGGAATCCTCATGGCTTGATAAAGCTCCTTCCAGGATTTCCTCAACACTTACAGAACTATCTATGCTTATAAAACATATGAACTTTAAAATAAATTGATTTCTAACTTGGCTTAAGTATGGGGTCATTGACAAAGTCATGATGTATCTTTTCATGGTTTTTATGCACAAATGCATCATGACTTTTCCAACGGCCCAATGTATTTCTAGGCTATAGATGTACACTGCGTCTCTCTTTTCCCTCAGATATAATGGCTCTTCAATCCCAAGATGTTCAAGAGAAAAGATACATGATCACATCCCTGATAACGCTAAGTTATTACTGTAGTCATTTATCAGTGGAGGGGTGAGGAGAGGGCCTTGGCAATGAACCCTTCCCTTCATGGCACTGTATCAGAATCTGAGCCTGGAATGTGGGTGAAGTGGAGGACTTGCTATTGGAAGAGAGTGACTGTATAGTTCTTAAAATTTCCCAAGCTAATTCAGGTTTGCCCCTTCTCCCCCTTTAAAGCAACTCTGAAATGCAATGTGTTTTCTCATCTAATCACTTTGGTGAAAGTGATTTATTATTCACTGTAAAAATACCTTAAGTTCCTGAACCTAGTTTTTTTGTTGGCATCTGGACATTTCTAATTGTTTGCATTAAAAGTAACAGTGATGTGGGACCACCAGATGGTGTAATGGTTACATTGCTGGATTCCCACATAGACTGTGGTTTAAGTCCCAGACTCAATGGCTTTAAACTCATGCTGGGCGCGTGTGCATGTGTGCCCAAGATCCTGAGAGAAGGGAGAACAGATGCCGCATGGCCATCCCCCCCAGGGGGTGATTTCCCTCTTCCCGTCTCTCTCTGCCTCTCCAGTGAGAGCATGCACGCTATAGCAAAACCTTTCTAAAAGTGTCACAGTGATGCATATCCATGTGTTGTACTGCTGAAGAGAATCTCTTCCTGTTGTGCTCAAACAACTCAGGGACCACACACTTAGTGTCCGTGAAGGAGGGACTTGATGCTCCACATCTCGGTCCATGCAGCAGCATGGTGCTATGCAAGAAGCAAGGGCCCTGGGATCTCAAATGAGGCTTTGTAATGACCAGACATTAGAACAGAACTACAGGCTGTCACTGGTTCTATTCTTCAGTCAGCACCAGCAGCTGTGTCTACTGGGATGGTCTCGAACTGGCAGTTTGAAAACACACAGTCGATGCATCACCAGCGTCTGACTGCTCCAATAGCAGGCCAGAGATCCTCTGAGGGTGACCGACTTCCCTGGGTTTATGGCACCCCCACTTGTAAGACCTCCAAGGAAATACATTCCACTCAGGGACCTCGGTCACTGCACTTAATTCTTTGGTGTGTACCTTCGCCTTACCATTTCTTCAGTTAAATTGGAGTAGCAACAACTACTTAATTGGAATAATAACAAAGACTATTATGATCTCACTTTACTGTTGGGAGGAAGAATTAAGAGAACAATTAAAAACTTGATAAGAGGCGTAAACATGAAAGTAGTTAAGGGAAAGTAATGGCAGGTGATTATGGCCACGCTAAACTCACACTGAAATTCATCACCAAGCACAGGTCATGCTGAAATCTCAGGAACCTGCTGGAAACAGATAGAGTGGCCTTATGAACAACCAGGCATGAGGAAGTCAGGCTTTTCTCCTCTGGAATTTTAAGACCAAAAATAGACCAGATACTGGCTATCAAAGAACTACTAGGTTGTTGGAAAAGTAGTGACTCATTTTTACATAGACCAAATACGTCACGATTTTTCCGACCACCCTATAGTACACAAATCTAGTTATGAACTAGATGGTGCTTGCTAAATTCAACAATGACATGATACTTTCGCTGAGTCATTACATTGTGGAAATATCACACATGTGCCCAAAGATGAAAGTGCACAAATGTTAACTGTAACCTAAATTATAATGTTAATAATTGGTAACAGCCCAAATGCTTAGGAAGTCACCAGATAGCTAAATTATGAAAATGTAAAGAATCAAGTGTATATACCCAAGGAGAGAGCTCCAAGCTGGGGCCAGCAGTTAGCATAATGGCTATGCCACTGGATTCCCATGTAGTCGACCGCAGTTCGAGTCCCAGACCCTGTGGCTTAAACTCACGCCGGGCGCGTGTGCGTGTGTGCCCAAGATCCCAAGAGGATCATGGAGGAGAAGGAATTGTGACGAGGCCATCGCCCTCCCCTGCCCCAAGGGGGTGATTTCTCGCTTTCTGTCTCTCTCTGTCTTTCTGGCAAGTGCACGCCCCCTATAGCAAAAACTTCTCAAATAATAATAATAATAATAATAATAATAAAGTTAAGTCACCCCACTTAGCCTATTTTCCTCCAAGAAGGAAAATAATTGGAAGGGAGAGAGGGAGAGAAAGCTGGTGAAGAGTCATTTTATCTTTCACTCTGTCCATTCATACAGTTTGAAATGTTTGTAGTAATGATGTCGTTCTTTGTGGAAAAGTACATTTCATTTAGATTGTACCATTTTCTCTACTTAATACAAGATTGAAACTTTGCTATTACCTGACCCTTGCTTAATTACCAATTTGTAGTTTTTCTTTTTGCTTATTGGTTGTGTGTTTCTTTTTCTCCATTCAATGGACATAATAATTTGCATTACATTCTTCAGGCAATACCAATTATTTTCTTTTTTTCTTCTTTTGAGAGGTTTTTCACTATAGGGCGCATGTGCTTGCCAGAAAGACAGAGAGAGACAGAGAGACAGAAAGCAAGAAATTACTCCCCAAGGGGGATGGCCATGCCGCAATCCCTTCTCCTCCATTTTTTTTTTGCAATCCCTTCTCCTCCATTCTCCGCTCGGGATCTTGGGTACACACGCGCACGCGCCCGGCGTGAGTTTAAATCACCGGGTCCGGGACTCAAACAGCGATCGACTACATGAGAGTCTAGTGACATAGCTATTACACCAACTGCTGGTCCCCCAATTATTTTCCTTAGAATTTTTGTGGGCTTCTCCATACCAGCCATGTTCCTGGACAAGTCTCCACTATGCTACCTCCTTCGAGGGTTTTAAAAATATAATTTCTTCTGGTGAGAAAGACATGTTACATGAGATTTTAGAGCAAAGAACAAGTTTGGGGTTGTCAATAATTATTTCATGATGGATCTTCACATGATTCATGGAAAATGTGTACTATGAAAACAACTATAAATAGAGTTTAACAACTTTTTAGGTGGTGCTTAAAGTAGCTGGATTCCACATGACTGACTTCACAGTTTGAGCCTTGGACTGGCAGTTTAAAAACACACAGTTGCATGTGTATGCATACCCCAAATCCTAAAGAGTGAAAGGAGGAGAAGGGATGATGGTGTGACCATCTCTCACGGGCGGGGAGAGGGCGTGCTTTCTCACTTTCTTTTCCTCTCGCTTTCTCTCTCCGAGGGCGTGCTTTCTCACTTTCTTTTCCTCTCTCTTTTTCTCTCTGGTGAGTGCGTGCACCCTCTAGCAAATTTAAGAAAACGTTTAAAAACACTTTTTATATGAAATTAAACATAGACACACACACACACACCCTAAACTTGTGCTTTAATTCCATTTTCCCAAGAACTTTAAAACAATCCCATCCTATTTGCTGCATCTGGAGCAGCAACCATCCATAATCACCAGAAATGCATATAAAACAAGATTTAAAGAACTATGGTATGTAAACATGGCAGGATATGTTATTCCCTCACTTTTGAACTTCATGGAACACACATTGAATTATTTTAAAAGAGGTGCTTATGAAATTTGACATGATTTTGCCAGGTAACCATATTAAAAAAAAAAAAAAGCAAAATAGGAAGCATCATGGTATGAATCGAAGTACTTTCCTCACCCCCAAGTCAACATGATCTCAGCATATAGGATTATTTTCCTGGTTGAGCAATTAATAACCTTAAGAGAATAAATTATACTTACATGAGACCTACTGCTTGAGCTTATTTTTTAAATCACATTTGGCTTCAGACCAGGAAAACAAAATTTATCATAAAAGTTGTCATCAAATTTAAGACAGTACAGGTAGAGGGCCAGCACTTAAGAGGAGACTTTCAGCTCATTTGGTAATGTTTTATATCTTAAGCTAGGTAGAAGGGAAACATAGGATTACTTGCTGTAATATTTTATTATCTTAGATTATGGATAATTAAGGCTAAAAATGCCTCCAGTTCAGGACATGTGTTGGCGAGCTCAGACAAGAGAAGGCCCCCTTGCATTGGTCCCAGGCCTGTCTCTGCATGCAGACAGAATCCAGGTCTCTGTACTGTTGAGAGACTTCTCAAGTGTCTGTTTATGTTCTATCTTCTGTTCAAATTAGGGCATGGAATTGGGTAATATTCAATTATTTCCAAGTCTCTAGAAAAATACCCCAACCAGAAATGCTCGTGATATTTCAAATAGTAAAAATTCTGAAAGTGCCTTCAGTGAAAAACAGACTTCTGTATTACAATATATTACCTGTGTGTTTTGCTTTAGATGGATCTGAGAGGCTTTGTGGAATAAAGGAAGGTGATTCTATCCTTCACAGTCAAAGAAAAGAGCTCTGCACAGTATCTATGGTAACTCGTCCCCAGATCTAGACAGTAGAGAAGCTCTTTCACGTAATAACATTGTAACAGGTCTCTTCCGTTTGTGTTCTCTATCTCTGATTACCAGAAATAGATTCTTTACTTTTAATAATTATTTATTTAATTTTATTTATCATGGTTACTATTTTTTAATTTGCTCTAGGACATGTATGCACACCAGAGAGAGCCAGAGAAAGAGAAAAAGAGAGAAAGTAAGAAAGCAAGTTGTCAAGTTCGGGACTCTAACCATGGTCAGCCATGTGGGAGTGCAGTGCCTTGACCACCATGCTACCTGCTGACCCCCTACCAGAAATATTTTAAAAAACCAAAACACTATTAAAAAAACCCCTAAAACAACAACAACATCAACAAACAAGAGGGATGTTGGATAAACCTATGGACACTTACCTCACGGCAAAGTGCAAAATAGTTGGTCCTGGTTTCTTGGGCAAATCATGGTCAAGGACTCGGTGATCTAACTGTAGCCAGTTCTGCTGACCTCTGTGAGAGCAAAGAAAATAAAAGAGATTAAACTGAAAGTCAGAAAAGAATGGTAACACACAGTGCTGGCGAAGATGCACAGAAACAGTGACTCTCACAGGCTGACGGTCGGCATATAACCTGCGACAACCAGTAATGAGGCCAACCTAGCAATTTCTTCCACAACTACAAAAGCACCTGTCTGTAAGCCAGCATTTGCATTTCCAGGAGTTTATCACTCACTGTAGTATTGTTTATAATAGCAAAAAGGTAGGACATAACCTGAGTGTCCAGTAGGGTATTATTGTTTAGCTGCAAGAGGGTGTGTGTGCTGGAAAGAGGAAGAAAGCACCTTCCAGCTGGAGGTGGTCATGCTGCAATCCCTTCTCCTTCATTTCTCCACTCTGTCAGGATTTGGGGCATGCACGCATTTATGCCTGGTGTGTTTCTCAAGCTGCCGTGTCTGGGACTTGAACTGTGCGGTTGACCATTTGGGATCTGGCTGCCTTAACCAGGCCACGGATCTGGCCCCCACATTGGAAAATTCTAACCTGCATTCCTTAGAAACAGACAGGAAAAGTGGACATAAATAATAAGCAGTATAGTAGTAGTGATACCCAGTCTTTATTGAGCATCCACTTCTAGCCATCCTGGAACTTTGTACATGTTAAAGCTGTATTGTGCAATAGGTCTCCAAGGAAACTTGCGGACTGGAATTAAAACCCAGGACTTTCGAACAGGATAAAAATGAGACTAGAGGGTTGAATCAGCTCTTATCAGACTTTTGGCTTAGTCTCTGTCACACACCAACCAGTTTTATCACTGGAAAAAGTGTGTTTTTGTCTCTGTAATTCTAAGACAAGGTTTCTAATAATTGGCTCTAACTTTTTTGTAGAGAATTGTTATAAAGATAAATTTGTGGACATAAGTGACATAATGGGAAGTCCTTAGAATAATTGATTTTGTGTTTTACAAAAAGGGGGACTGAAGTTAAGGGATGTTTTTACACTCTTGCATCAAATTTGAGGTGCCACTGATTTAAGGGCATATTCCACTTTCTGAGATGTTCTAATGCTGTCTTAAGCTATATAAGATATTATATATTATCAGGTCTCAAACATTCTCTTAAAGAAAATAAGACTAGGGGCCGGCAGGTGACATGGTGGTTAAGGCACTGGATTTCCACATGGCCGACCACGGTTCAAGACCTGGACCTGGTGACTTGCTCTCTCACTTCCTCTTTTTCTGTCTCTGTCTGGTCAAATTAAAATAATAATAATAACAATAACAAAAATAATAATAGCAAATGGAATTAATAGATTTTAAAAAGAAAATAAGACTAATTTTGAATTCTTTTATGCTTTTACATAGGAAAAAGATGGCATCGTTTAAAGAAGATAATGCGTATTTATATAAACCTGCAAGGACTAACATCTAAGCATGAATGAAGCGAGCTATACAATAACATAAACAGCCCCGGCCCAGGGTGTTCACCACAGAAGCATACTCAAAACACAGGGACACAGGGCTGAAAAGTTTAGATATAGTTCTGGAGCGATCTAGAGCAAACTGCTAATATTTGTTACCTCTATGGAAGAGGCACAACTACAACCATACAAGCATAATTGCAGTGGGGCAGGCAACCAAAAGGGAAAGGCCTCAAGTATAATATGACTTATTTTTTAAAACAGGGTCTTGCATGTTGCGGTCCTCCTGCCTTAACCTCCCCAGTAGCTGGGAGTACGGGTGTACACCACTGTGCATACAGCTTCCAGGGTGGGCTGGGAATTGAACCTGAGCTTTCTATGTGGCCTCAGTCTACTGAGTAACAGTGTTAATCTCAGTGAGCGCTGTTGTGGTTGGGCTAAGTGTTTTTATAAAAATATATTCATGTATATGTGTAGTATAAAATAATTTTTTAAAGTATATAATAGAAATCCATTTTTAAAGAATTCTTTTATTTAACTTTATTAATTCATTAATAATCCATTTTTAAAGAATTCTTTTATTTAACTGTATTAATTCATTAAGTTATTTTAATTTGCCTAGAGAGACACAGAGTGAGAGAGAAAGAGAGGGAGAAAACAAGAAAGCAAGCTGCCAGGTCCAGGACTCAAACTGGCCATATGGGAGTCCAACACCTTTAACCACCATGCCACTTGCTGGCTTCACAGAAATAAATTTAAAACAAAAAAAATCTGTAATCTTGCCAACAGGAAAAAGTCTAGAAGAACAAAACAAAGAAAATGATCTGTAATTCTACCACTGAGATATAATCAAGATTACTTATTGCTTATAAACTGCATTTCTCAAGTTTTTCCATTATCAAATGTAATAAATTTAATCAATACTTTAAAAAGACAGTCATATCCTCCCCTCTCTATGTAGACCAACTGTGGAGAAGATTTTCTTTTTGGCTAGACTTGTACCAGTAAAGGCCCATCATCTCATGCCCATGAGGAAGGGACAGAAATCAAAGTTCCAGTTGGGCTCGAAAGCCTGCTTGTTATTTCTTCATAAACAAAAGATATTCAGTAATGTTTTTCAAAACACGGGAAGAAAATGAAATGAGCAAGGCTGGGAGCCATTACGGCAGATGGAAGGGCTGCTGTCTCGGGAGGGCTGTGACTGCCCTCTATGGGCGAAAGGCTCACCCTGCACACGGAACTCCAGAAGGCACTATCACTACCAAGTGTAACCTTCGGAATTCGAATTCAATTCCTCTCCAAAATGACCATGAATTTATTTTTGCTGGTCAAGATTATTATTTTTTATTATGTAACTGCATCTATTTTTCCAGTTTTATTCCTGATCTGTGGACCAGAGGATAGACAGTGGCTAGTTTTTATTGCAGTGTCCTCTTCAACTTTGCCTACTTAAAGATGGTCACCAAAGGCAGAAAGCTACTGAGGCATCCAGGCTGGAAAACACAACGCATACAGCGCCCTGCAGAGGCTCCGACTCAGTGTTTGCATGGGGGCGGGTGGAGGGAGAAAGAAAATACTTTCCAAAAATACGTACTGGACAAAGAAAAAGAGCTAGGCTTGTGACCAAGACACTCCAAGGAGCCACCCTTAAACATAAACAATTTTCCAGGCCTGTTCCCCAGAAAGGTGGAACTGGCCAGCCACCCTCCCACCCCCCGAAAAAAACCAGCTCATACTTCTTCTGAAAATAAACACAGTTAGAGCCAGAAGACACCTTCCCAAACTGGTCATCATTCAAAAATAGACTGTGCTGTCGCTTGCATGGAGGACGTTCTGGAGCCAAGGTTCTTGGAAGGGCTGTGTCCATTGGCTGCGGTGGCCACAGGAGGTAACCGGAAGACAGGCTCGCAGGGGCCATTCTTCTCCCGCTGTAGTTGGGGGAAAGCTATCTCGGGGCAGATGAAGACGAGGGTGGCCCAAGTCACTAAAGGAAGTCATTTGTTTTATTCCTTTTCTTTCTGAGGAGAAAGCCTTGGAGTCTGAGTGTCTGACTTAGACACTGTCTGGTTTATGCACGACCGAGCTCAGAGCTCTCCCTGAAGCCTCCCAGGCGGCGGGTGGAGGGAGCGGCTTAGACCTAGGCAAAAACTAGTGACCTTCAAAGCAGGTATGGTCTTAGCGCTGATGCAGCAGGGCAAGTGAAAGCTCTAATAAAGACATGATCTGCACCACAGGGTGGTATAAATTAAAGGAAGCCGCGAGCCAGCCAGAGAAGGCTGGAGCGG